CTTCCTCTGGCCTGGTCTGGGTTGCTCCCTATCTTGGTTCTTGCGCTCACCTGTAGGGACTGTGTCCCAACAGAGGAATTTCCAAAGCTCCTCCATCAGAACCTCTCCCTATGCCAGATCCTGTATGTGCTGGTGGTTCTATGGGCCAGCCCTCCTTCTTGCTGTTGGCTGTTTCACCCCAGCCATGGCTTGTCCATACCCAGACACTGCTCACACATAGCTCAGTAGGGGCAGAGACCTAGCCTAGTCTGACCTATATCTACCCAGGTTCTCCAGAGCACCAGATGGTGCTGGAGTCTAGCCTGGCTCAGTGTGCCCAGCCCCAGTCCACACTTGTGCCATGGGAGATTGCAGCCATATCCAGACCAGAATGCATCCCCCACTCCAGCCCCTGCATTCTCCTGTGGAAACTCCAACCCAGCAAGGGTGTACTCTCACAGCTCCCTCCCCAACTGCGTCTATTCCCAGCCCTAGATTACGTGCGTGCCAGTGATTGCTCTAACCCAATTGGCTTAGCCGCTCACCTGTCTCAGCCTTTGCCTTCAGTGCTGTGGCCTAGTATCCCTGACTTTTGCAGACCAGTCAGTGTAAGAGCCTAGTTAGGAATGACATGTGCTCCATCCTGATTTTTGTTCTTTTTTGTGAGCTGAGGTTTGCTTGGCCCTGCCTGGTCCACCCCCTTCCAGTTGCAGCTCGGCCCACCTCATATCCTATTTTAGGATGGACCTTTGGGTGCTGCTGCCTTGACCTGCCCAGACTGCTATCGGTTCCTTTACCCGTAAGTGATGGCAGGTGCCATGGTCACACCTAGCTCAGGCCACCACCATGCCAGCTCACGAGCTAACCTGCGCGACTTGTGTTTCCACAGGGTTGGGGCCACACTTCCCGCACAGAGTCTAACCCCGGACCAAGTTGTCTCACGTGCTGATTAGTGTCTTGATCCTGTCAAGTGTGACCAGTCCACCATTCCACCACCCAGTCAGGTACTTATACCTAGCCCTGCCAGAGAGGCCCCCCTCCATAGCTTTGGTGTGGACTGGTGTGTGGCAATCAGTGATGCTCTATGCTAATAGCCCATTTCAGGATTCCTAATTGAACTGGTGAATCAGTCTGGCCCAAATAGAGCTTATGGCCACTCCCTTCCAAACCATCAGGTCTCAGTCCCCACTCCTGCTCAAAAGTTTCATGACCCTGTTAATGGGCATCACCCAGAATTCCTCTCTCATCTACACTAAAACTGGCCTTATTCATGGGTGTCCCTAGGCAGTAATTACATATCCTAAAAACCCAAGAGTTCACTGCTGTGCAGCCAGAAGTCAGAACCTGGCACCACTTGGTGCATTGGCCGTGGAAAGCCTATGACTCAGTCACTGCCTTTTGGCAGTGGCTTTGGCCTGTGTCCCCAGCTTTGGGGCCGGCCTGGCAGGGGTACCCTCCCACAGCCGCCACACTGCAGGGAGCTGCTTTTGCCCCTAACCCCAAGGCCTGAACCCCTCATGATCCCACTTTTATAAGCAAAATACAGAATAATTGTGTGTGTGTGTGTGTGTGTGTGCGCGCGTGTGTGCATGCATGCACATGTATATAAGTGAATCCAGGAAATTATGAACAGAAAATTGGAGAAGGGAGAAGTACTAGTTAATACAGTTGCCTGTGTGGTGCCCCACTGTGTGTGTGGGGGATGGCAGTCATAGAAAGAAACAGATTTTTTAAAAGGGTCTTGAACTTAAAAGAAAGGACATTTGATATGATCCTCAATTGGCTCATTTAATGATCCGAATGGCAACAATTCCTCTGTCAGATTTCCCAAGTCCACTATATCATTTTACAATCTATGTGTTAGAATATCATTTCCATTTGAGTTTGGAATTATGACTTCCATTATCTGTAGATGGGGAAACTGAAGGTTAACATTGTTAAATAACAGTGCTATACCATTTAGGTAATTCTGACAAACGGGTGAGACTCTTGCCCCAAATTTGTTTTGGAGGTCGAGATTGATGTGGTCAGAAATATACCGAGGATTTGTTAAAAAAAAAAAAAAAGGCAACTACTGAATAAATCAATGGGAGACTAAATTCAATGAACAGTCATCTAAGTAGCACTTTAATCATACAGCTTTCTAGGGAGACCTCTCAAGCTGACTTAAAAAGTGCCTTGAATTTCAAGGTTTTGCACAGATGCAAAATGGCCATTTGAGATGCCTGTATCCTGTATCGGAGGCCTAGTTTAAGTCCCATCTCTGCTTTCCATTTCAGATTTAGCTAAAGTATGCGTGGGAGGCAGCAGGTGATGGCTGGGGTCCTACCAACCATGTAGGAGTTCTGGGATGAGTTCCCAGTTGTTCCCTGGCTCCGACCTGGTGATTGCAGGCATTCAGGGAGTCAATCATGGACAGGGTTGGTCTCTTTCTCTCTAGTCCTTAAAAGAAGTAATTAAAACAAACAACAAACAAACAAACAAACAAACATAATCGAAAAGAACTCCAAAAGAATGAAAAAGTAACTAGAAATGACCTCAGAGTTGCAGAAGTCTGGGATGGGCTTTTCAGGGTCCTTGTGGGTTAGATGCCTACATGTAGCATAGGGCTGCTTGGCTAGAACTGCCTTCATTTCATTACCAACTGAGGGGGGACTCGTGCTTTTTCAGCAGCTTGTGCAGATGTCGGGCAGAAAGGGAAGAGTGAGACAGGAGACTGAAAAGCTGTTAGCTGTCAAACATGAAAAACAAAAACTAGGTGAGTTATTACAAGCAATTTAAAATTTGAATGTTCCACATCTAACAAAAATGTTTAGCTTGCACTTTCATCTGTCCACATATAAATGTGAATGTCATTTCATTTCATTTCATTCAAAAGTCATGCATGCAACATTACATGGATGATCAAGCATTAAAGTTTTGCGTAACCCTCAGAAATAACTAAGTTCAATAATTAGCAAAAATTTACCAACATATTCAGTTTGCTCATGTAGTTACAAAATTAATATAGAATTAGGACCAGCATAAAGGCTCAACAAGCTAAACCTCAACCTTCAAGAACCAGTATCATGTAAGAGAACCGGATTCAGTCCTGGCTGCTTAGCTTCTGCTCCAGCTCTCTGCTTGGGGTCTAGAAAAGCTGCAGAAGTTATTCTAACCCTCTGGACCCCTGCATCCCTGTTGGAGACTGGGAAGAAGGTCCCGTGTTTGGATTGGCTCAGCCCCAGTTTTTATGGCCTTTTGGGGAGTGAGCCAGAAGTTCAAAGATATTTCTGTTTCTCCTCTCTATAATCTGCCTTTCCAATGAAAAAGTAAATCTTTTAAAAATAAATACAGAATCTCTGTATGAGCAATATTAGAATGTAAGCCCAGGGAACAAAGTGACTACTTCATTTTTGTTGCTTTATGGTTTGTCTACACCTGTTCCTTGTAAAAGGTGAAACACGGAATGGGCACAAAGTATGCGATGAACACTGGATATTTCAAAAAATTAAAGTGATATAATTCTAATATAATTGTACAAATCCTTATGCATACATAATAAATAATAATTTAAATCTATTCTTGAAACTTCTTAAAATTATTTTATTTCTACTCCCAATTAAAGGACCCCTAATTAAACTATTCAATATACCTTAGGATACTAGATACTAGGATATCTTAGGATCCCATAGGATATTGGACTGCCTATCATTGTCCATACCTTCAATGACACAATACAGAATAGCATAATGTTTGATGTGTGACTGCTGTTTGATGACTATATTATTGTAATAATACAGGGGAAAACAGTCGGATGGGATGGGCGAAAAGATAAGGGAAATCCCTGTGCCTATGGAACATATAATGAAAAATAATTTTAAAAATAAAAAAGTTTCAACTGGAAAAGCAAAGTACTTCTATAGAATCTTATTAGACAAAAATTACTTGTAGACAAAATTACTTTTAACAAATTCATTTTCAACAATTGATGTTTAATAATATTAAGCATATGGATTTTGATTTCTTGATGTAAGATGACTAAAATGTCTGATAAAATGTGGATGAACACATAGTGTACTTGTTAGTTTGTGCTGGCTTAGTATAAGAATGCTTCAGAGGGCTGGCTTACCCAAGCCTTCTGCTAACTGGTTTGTGACGTAAAGAATGATTCCCTTTATCAAGGCCTTAGATAATGGAAACATACCATGGAGGAGATCAACAGGAGTACACTCTGAATTAGTGTTAACAATATTATTAAATCCTCATAGGATTTATTAGGAAAACAAACTGAGCAGAGCACAATAGCCTAGTGGCCAAATCCTTGCTTTGCACATGCCCAGATCCTATAGGGGTATTGGCTCACAGCCTAGCTGCTCCATTTCCCATCCAACTCCCTGCCTGTGGCCTGGGAAAGCAGTCAAGGACGGCCCAAAGCCTTGGCACCCTGCACCCACATGAGAGACCTGGAAGAAGCTCCTAGGTCTTGGTTTCAGATCAGGCTGTTGTGGCCACTTGAAGAATGAAGTAGCAGACTGCAGATCTTTTTCTTTATCTTTCCTCTCTATAAATCTGCCTTTCCAATAACAAATAAATAAATCTTTAAAAGGGCACCCCGTGTAGTAGTCTAGTAGCTAAAGTCTTGATTTGAACATGGCAGGATCACATATGGGTGCCAGTTCGAATCCCAGCAGCCTGGTTTCCAATCCAGCTCCCTGCTTGTGGCTTGAGAAAGCAGTTAAAGACGGTCCAAAGCCTTGGGACCCTGCACTTGTATGGGAGGCCTGGAAAAGGCTCCGGGCTCCTGGCTTCAGATTGGCTGAGCTCTGGCCATTGCGGTCACTTGGGGGAGTGAATCAGCAGATGGAAGATCTTCCTCTCTGTCTCTCCCTGTCTCTGTATATTTGACTTTACAATAAAAATAAATAAATCTTTAAAAAAAAACTGGAGAGGAGGGAAATTAGGGATGGGAAAGAGGAACCCCAGTGCCTATTATACTGCATCATAAAACAAAACAAAACAGAAAAAACCCAACAACTTCATATTAAACTTTTTATTAAAACTGAGTCTTTGCAACATATTTAAAATGTCATGTTCCGCAGTCAAGTCTTTAAGGAAAAATTGTTCTGTAAGCAATTATTGGCACACAACTTTAAGAACATAATTAAAAGTAAAAGTAATCTCTCCATACAGATATATATCTATAAAGACAGACACACAGATCTCCACCTTCGTTTCAGTGACCTGGAATACCTGAGTTCTCAAGGTCTTGATTTCCCAGGTAGTGTGAGACATTTCCCATCCGCTTTATAAAGCACACAGCTGATGCAGAAAAATAACTTTGGTTGATAGATGCCGTCCCCAAAGATCAAACCGAAGTCCTCAATAGGGTCAAGGCTTATCTTCAGAGTTTTCTTCTAGTTGGAGGTCGGTCTGTGATGTCAGGAATGACTCCCACGTAGCAAGGCACTGGCAATGGAAACACACCATGGGGGAGATGGTTCATTTTCAGTCAGTGGTAAGAGGATTGACAAATCCTGACGCATCTGCTTCCACACTACTCTGCCCTCCTGCCTCACATCATTTTATCATAATCCTTTTTATGTTCTATACATTTCAATTGTGAATTAGGGATTCAATTAATTAACTGAAAACTCAAAGATAAAAAAAAATTAGCATGGGATAGTTGACTAAAATAATCCATTGTTAAACCACTGTCAAGACTGACCACAGAATTCTGTTATAGAAAAAAAGTACTGCTGGCTCTGTCTGGGTCCAAATTTTACTAATGATAATACTACTAGTGCAATTGTGAAAGTTAAATGTATATAATTTATATAAATCTCCATACAGAATGCCTAACATAATGTAAGTGCTCAAAAATTAGCAAATATGACTGTCAGTCATGACATCAGTGGTTACCATGATCATTAACGTGCTAATATACTTTTCTGCTTAGATAATAAAACAACAAACTGTGTCTAATGCACCAATAGGAGCTATAACATGAAGTGTTACAGAATAGTTTATTAATCCAAATAAAGCAGAAAGAGGAAAAAAGGGAACCATGAATACATTACAAGGAAACGAATGGCAAAATAATAAACATAGACCAGTGATATCAATTAGCATTATAGATGCCTGAATCCCCAATTTCCTGGTAAGAGCTGTAGACTACCCACTGAAAAAAAAATACAGAATCCATTAAATTCTAATTTTTATAAACACCTGAGAAGTAAGAATAAAAGATTAAAATTGATATGTCATGTAACTCATGCCAACAGCAGAGCAAGAATGGCTATGCTAGCCTCTGATAAAGCAGATTTCAGAGCAAAGATAAAGATATCATATAAAAATGATAAGAGACAAGTCACTGAGAGTACACGATTTAAAATACTTATAACTATAACGAGAAACCTTAAAAATATATGAAAAAACATCCATAATTATAACTGATTTTGATAATCATGTTGATAAAATATGTACACAGGAAATATACTATCAACTGCCTAACTGATATGCATAGATAAAAGCAAAATATAAATTTTTTTTCATGTGCAAATACAAAGTTTACCAAAATAGACCACATTCTGGGCCATAAGTCTTGTGTCCACAAATTCAAAAAGATTCAAATCATAAGAAGTTTTTGTGGTTTTTAAGATTTATTTTATTGTAAAGTGAAATACACAGAGAAGAAGTTCTTCCAAATGATGACTCACTCCTCAAATGGCCATCATGGCCAGAGCTGAGCCAGTGCTGGGGGCAGGCTGGCCTGGGACAGTCCACAGTACACACTGGCATGACCAGGCCAGCTTGGGTTTGATTGCAACACCTGCCAGTTCACACAAAGGGTAGGGGTGGGACAGGCTGCTGTACCCATTGGAAAGTGCTGGAACATAGTACAAGTTGTGTCCAGGTGGAAAACAGTACCCTCTGCCAAGTGCAAGAGCCGGGGCTGGGAAGAGACCTGGAAGGGAAACTGGGAAACACTCCTCTGCTGGTGGTAGTTGCCACTGGTGAGCACAAGAGCCAGGGCTTCTGGCAAACTGGGCTTGGCAAGAAGGCAGTACTTATGGCCATGTATGTGGGCAGGGTATGTGGCTGTGTCAGGCTGAACTAAACTGCATTATCCATGGGTGCACCTGAGAGTCAAGGGTGTCTGCTTCATGGCATAGCAGGCTTAAGCTTTTGCCTCAGAATGCCACTTGGGGCAGGTTCACGTCTGAGATGCTCTTCTTTTTAAAAATATTTAATATTTGTTCATTTTTATCTGAAAGGGAGTTTTTTTTTAACAGAAACAGATGGACAGACCCAGAGAAATATCTACCATCCGCTGTTTAATCCCCCTATGGCTGTGACAGCTGAAACTAAGATGTAAAGCTGGGAGCCTTGAGTTTCTTCCATATCTCCCATATGGGAGCAGGTTCTCAAGGATTTAGGCCAACCTTGCTGCTTTCCCAAGCTGTAATCAGAGAGCTGGAATGGAACTGAAACAACTAGGACACAAACTGATGCCCATATGTGCCAATGCCACAGGGCAGAGCATTGGGCAGCTATACCATTTCCTGGACCAGGTTGTCTGCTTCTAACCCAGCTCCCTGCTAATAGCTTGAGAAAGCAGTGGAGAGTGGTCCAAGTCTTTAGCACCCTACACCCATGCAGAAGACATGGAAGAAGCCCTTGGCTGCTGGCTTTGGATCAGCCCAGCTCTGGTCATTGTGGCCCTTTGAAGACTGAACCATCAGAATCTCTCTGTCTCTCTCTTTCTCTATCTCCTTTCTTTTTTTTTTTTTTTTTGGATCCAATCCCAAAAAGAAAAGCAATAAAAAGACATGGAATTTCATGAAAGGTCTTTTGCACAGTAAGGGTGAAAATGGAGGGAAGTTTGCAAAACATTTCTGAAGCGAGTAACCGGAATATATAATGAACACAAATAACACAACATCAAAATAATAATACAACTTAGAAATAAGCAGTAGATATAACGAAAAGAAGACACATAAGTCATCAATACCACATGAAAAAGAAATGTTCAATATCCCTAATCATCAGGAAAATGCAAATCAAAACCACTATGAGATCTTCCTTGCCTCTACTTACACTGTCATGAAAGATAAAGATTATGTTAAGAATATTGAGAAAAAGAGAATCTTTGGAACTCTGCTCGTGGAAATGTAAATTAACACAAAGAGGAAACCAAAGTAGAATCACCGCGTGATCTAGCAACCAATTACCGGAGATAATACAAACAAAACATGTTTGTGTTGAGAAGACAGCTGCACTCCCTTGCCTAGTGCCACATCAGTCACAATAGCCATGAAATAGAACCTGCGTATGTGCACATTAACAAAAGAATAAACAAAGTGTGGTGTACACACACAATGGAATAACATTCAGTCATATCGAAGGATAAGATTGTCATTTGCCACACTATGGATGGAATTAGAAGTTATTATGTTAGGTGAAATAAGACAAGCAGTACATTATCTAATTCATATATGGAGTCTAAAAAAACTGATTTCCTAAGAAATTAAGTGTAGAGTTGTTTTTCTTAATCTAGGGACAGCAGGACAGAGATTGGAAGAGGGAAAGGTTGAATGAAAATGCTAAGTTATCAACAAGAATATCCTCAGAAAATTAAGGACAAAAAAAATTCCAGAACCTTAGGAAAAAATTCACAATAAACACATAACTAATACTATATTCAGATGCACAATAAGTATTAGCTATTGATATTTTACTCTTTTGTAATGCTTATGGAGAAATGAAATGAAATTAAAAACAGTTCTAAAAGTACCTACAAATCTTCAACACATTTCATGAGAAAAACTTAAATATAAATTAAAGAAAATTGAAACAAGTGACTGAAGTTTGCAATCCAAGGCCAACTACTGCAGTTCCTTTTCTGAGGACCGAAGTATAAGAGAGGGAGCCATCACAGCTAGGAGGGTGGGACAATACAGCTCCGGCTCAATGAGACCCAACAGATGAAAATCTTTGGTTCTCAAACACTTTTTAAAACCCTTATGAAATGCACAATGATCCAATATTTGGAAAGCTTAATTTTAATGCCTACACATTCAGCACTGAATTTTACACCCTTTACTGCATTCCAAAGGTGGTGATGATTTTTTGTGACCAGTGGAGTCAATTGCAAATGTCTCCTCAGTTCTTTGCTCTGCTGTGCTTAACTGAGTGACAGATGCAGCACACCTAAAAGCTACCTGTGTCCCTAGTATTTGGTATTTATAAACACTTATCACTATAAATATTTTTTTAAAGATAAGATTTATAGGATCAGACAGTGTGACTGGCAGGTTTGAGAGCTGTTCCTGGAATGCCTGCACTCCATACTCCACAGCTGGCACAAGATCCAAATGCTCTGTTTTCAATCCAGCTTCCTGCTAATGTGCACGTGGGGAGGCAGTAGGTGATGGCCAAGAGTTTGGGCCTCAGTGACCCACGTGGGATACTAGGATGGAGAGCCAGGTGACTGGCTTTATCCTGACCCAGTGCTGGCTGCTGCAGCCATTTAAAAATTAACAAGCAGACTGAAGATTTCTGTGCCCATCTCCCACACACTCTGTCTCTCTCCCTGTCTCATCTTTTCTCCCTCTGTATTTCAAGTAGATTAAAAAAAACTTCAAAAAGAATAAATGTATTACTTTTAAAAATAAAAATAGAGGGGAGTCAAACTGCTGACCATAAGGGGTGCACTGACAATTTGGGCCACAATGCTGACCACTACTTTCAGCACATTATGAATGCACATAACTGAGACTCACTGACATAAATTCAAGTCTTCAAAGTATTTCAACTCAAAGCCAAACCTACAGCTATTCAAAGCCCATGCTCCTAGCCATCATGTGAAAACGCCAACAGAGCATTTGGTATGTCCACCAAACACCAACCCAACAGCTGGCAGAAAAATTACTTTCATCGAAATTATCATGGAGGTCAAAATTAGTAAAATGAGGTCTACGTATTTCCATACTAATAAAGTAAAACTGAATACATTAGCAATGATACGTGTTTTTATGGAATGCGATGAAATCCAAGATTTACTAGCTATTTGAGGACCAGAAATTTCCAAAGTAAGCCAAAAGTTATGTTGTTTCTAATTTTCCCAAGTAATGTAAAAGTGCCTTTAAGAGTATTTAGCACACATAAAACTAGAAGCAGAGTAACATTTTAGTCAATAAAAACTTTCAGAAGCTGTGTATTTTGAAATATTGAAATGTAATAAACTCAGAAAGAAATTCAATGTTGCCAGAGAAATACAACTAGCATGATTCTGCTACAGATCAAAAAGCTTATTAAACTTCACTCTTGGAAAAGTCCAAAGTCAGCTTCTGAGAATGATTTGCCAATTTATAATTTGAAAACATTGATAAGGCCAAAATAATAATATTTACACACTATTTTTCTATACTTTGATTATCTTTCAAGAATCTAAGTGGTAAGTTTTA